CCCCCTAGGGGGCGCGCCCCACAGTTTTGGAACCTCTGGTTTATAGGAAAATGGAGGAAGCTAAATTAATTGTGATATTGCTAGGAAACCTGTCATAGGCTGCAGGAGGAGATTCCCTTCCTGGATCACACTGACCCTAAACTTGCAGCCAGAGCTACAAGGATCACAATCAAAACATATTTAAGAATGATCCAGTCAGAGAGAATCCAGTGGAGAGTCTGTGATCCTTTTGCAAAAGTTAATAAATAGAAAATGTGTTCTTTAGATGTGGAAAGCCATTAGACACATACCCCATATCACGTATACTTCTTGTTTCACTTCACAGTTACATACTACTTTGTACTGGCCTATCAGAAATATTGAGGTTGTGAGAATATGTGAAAAATAAGTGTGACTATTTTTGCAAGGAGCCCTATTCATATGAGAAACATCATGGGAAAGGCTTTTTACTTTGAATCTGTATTAGAAATCAATAAATGCTCCTTAAAATGTAGATGTTCTAACAGATTCACAGCAAAAACTAAATCCTAAAGACAACCAAATACTGAAATTCTATTAAAAGCAATCTAATTGCAGAAAGTCACAGAGGGATATATGAGCTTAAACAATGTGTCTAAACACTGACAGCCTCATTACCTAAAGTTGGTCTTCTACAATTGTCTATTTTTTACTGAAGCAATCTTTATATGAATCCTGTCATGGTATTAGTTATTTATTCTGAAACAGGATGGTTGCAGAATATTTAGGGCATTAGCCGTATTGACCATCCTCGTTGGAGGGTGAGGGGGACGAAGATCCGGATTTGGGGGAATATCTTCTTCTGTTGCTGACTGATGAGCAGCAGGAGGCCTGAGGAGATGGATCCTCTCTGCTCCAAAAACTGCCTTTGAAAATCAGCGACTGTATCACAACACAGTGTGTGTGTGAGGAGAAAGAGGAGGAAGAGGAGGAGGAGGAGCCAACACTTGTGGTTGGTGGAATAAAAAAAAAAAAAAAATCTGGGTCAGACCTGGGGTTGATAATGCTGATACCTTGTCATCACCATGGAAACACAGGTCCCGCCCCCATGACCCCTCACAACCTGACTTCCTTTCTGCCTGAAGCTCAGACCAGTGACAGAAACGCACAACTTCACATGCAAGGAGGAAAAAGGCAGACAGAGAAACAGCTAGACGGGGGGGAAAAAAGGATGGAGAGGGGAGTCGAGCAGACGTCCACTTTGACTTATTTCACTGGCTGAAACCAGACGTTGGGGTTGCATGGAAATATAAAAATGTGCTACGTTCTCATGCAGATGCACTTCAGACACAAATGAATTCAAGTACTTACATTTTTTTCATTATTTTACATATTGGAACACTTTTGAGTTTTAGTTTACTATCGAGGAAACAGACAACACCTTTTAATTTGAAAGGCTGACTAGCTTACTTAGTTGCCAAGTAGCTTACTTAGCAAAGCGAGTGCTTTTATTAAAAAGAAGATTGACTCATCAGATCTATTCTATGCCTGAATGGTTTTATCTGCCAAGCAAGGCAGCCACTAAAATGTCCATTAACTTTTTCGAATGAAACTTAAACTTCCTGTGATGCTCACATTGCCTCTCATTAATGGGGAAAAGAGGAAGCCGGCTGCAGGTCAACAAATTCAGAGGCATCTCATTAGACCTGATTCAAGGATAAACTTAGTCTGTTGACAAAGTCTGACGTGAATATGACAGGAAATGCTGCTGTTGCCTCTAAAGTAATCACATGTCATGTGGTAATGCAAGATAAAACTGCGGTGAAAAAGAAAAAAATACACCCTGCTTGATGCCATCCAGCCTTTTTTAAACTTTGACAATTTGAGCACAACAGAAATAACAAAATTGGATCAGAAGTGTTTTTTTCAAAATATGACAGTCAGATTCCCCACATAACATGAAGTGCACCCACTTTTTTCCACCGACTGCAACATCAAACACGGGTCAGATAAAGAACTCACCTAATTTGCTTTGCATAGTTGATTTCGATCTCCGATCGCTCCTTCACAAATTTGTTGTACTTCTCCACAAACTCGATCCCCCACTGCGTGTGCTTCTCCAAGTTATCAAACTGATCCTGTAGAGAACAAGAGGTGAAAATGATTAGGTTGCATGATTAGTGCAGAACATTTTACTGAGCGAAGAACAGAGATGCACCGTTATTATTGTGACGACAATCTTTTTCAGCCAAGTCATTGAACTCACAATGCTGTTTGTTGTGAGCAGTGTGCTGCTCTTATAGACTGAGAGCCTTATGTCAATTTCAGAGTTATATATTGACATTCTCAAGACGCATGGCGACCACAATTAGTAATGCAAGTTTCAAACATCATTTTGCCTTTAATTTAAAATAGTATAACCTTATTTTACAGCGAACACTGCACTTCTTTGTCTGTGATGTCCCCTCTTCCCTTAAAATAAATAGCGGCTACTCAAAAAAAAGGTGATGACGAGCTATTATATGCTGCTTATGATAGAAATCACAAACAGCTAAAGCTAATCTTCCATCTTGACCGTCTTGACCTGTGGAGCTGTTCAAACTGCTTTAATCATCTAACAGGTTACGTAGGGGCAAAGCTACACCTCCTTTAGATGGTCATGTTGAGTATATGTAAATACTATATTACTTTTAGAATGGATTTTGAGGTAAAACCCCCATGTGCATGGGGTGACCTTTTCGTTCACATCTGCGCAATGCATTCCCCAGCGAAAGGCGTCTCACCAGAAACACGACACTCGTCTCTCCATAAGCAGTTAATCAGCGCTACCAGTTTCACCAGAGGCTTCTCCTTCAGATCCAAATATGATTTAAAAAGTGTGGGATGTTCCAGAGCCTTATAGTAAATCCAGACCCCAGCAGTCTATAGCATTGATAACCAAACGCAGCTGCTCAGACTGAAGTCATTATTCAAGACTCGCTCGTGACTTGTGGGGGAAAGTATGAGCATTGACTTGGCTAAGGTCACGTCGGGAAAGTTGTCAGATCAGGAAGGAGAGCGAATAATTCATCTGGCAAATCAGCACACATACGTCACGTCTAAATCCAGACAATATTACCTAATCTAACCACACAAAGACAAAAAAAAAACATAAAATGTGACCTTGGTGTGGCTCCAACAGTCTCCCATCCTCTCCTCCACCATGTCTTTAGTCTTCTCTACGTCCGACTAATAAGGGGAGAATCTTAGAAGGTGTCAGCACCAGAAAAAAGAAAAACCTATGTGATTTTTAAGCGAACCGTGCAGAATGATACAGCAGTGCTTCTAGCATCCTGCACTGAAAGTAAAGTGATACAGGAAGTGGTTGTGGTGATGAAAAAGATGAAGAGGTGTGCTTCAGTCTGCAGCTCTGTGAAGCAATGTCAGGTTGTCGTAGAGGAAAGCCAAATGTCTTTTTAATATCGCCTAGATTTGTGCAGAACTTCATCGCTTTACTGCAGTAAAATCTCATCACATGAGGCGTGATAAAATCACTTCCACACCCCTGAATGAAAACACTAAGGAACTGAACGACTCTCAATTGAAGCACTCAAAGTAAGCAATAGAATGAGGAGGGGTGGGGGGGCTCCCAGACTGCATTGTCAGCCAATTTCAATGAGAAACCCCTCAACACAGTCAGGGAAATCAATGGATAAAACCCAAACAATAAGACTTTCTCTGCTTTGGGTGAAGAATCTTCCTTTGGAATTCCTGTTTATGCTTCTTCTAAATCCCCAAATGCTTTCTTTGAAGTTTGTTCCAAGTGAAGTATCAAAACTTAATTTACTTCATCTCAAACACAAAGCGAGTATTCAGGACAAAATAAAAGACAACATACAGCCCACGTCAGAGCAGCTAAATCATGCACGATAAAAACCTCCTCTCCTCCTCCTCCACACGCATTTCTCGGATTACCCTTTTCTGCAGGGGCACCATCTTATCCGGTAGCTCTCAGCGTGGAAACATCCAAACTCTGGAAAATGCCCATTCAATTCACCGCCCTCTGAGTGAATGCGGTGAAAAGCTAAAGTTAGTTTGGAGAGGTCATCCACGAGACCTTTGTCTGGGTATCCCAAGTGGGAGCAAGTGCAGATCAGCAGAAGCGTGCCGAGGTTGGGAACGAAGTCTCCTGACCCCCTCCCCACCCCGCAACCTTCCACACACACTAAAAAAGGAGCTGGTTCAAGTAATTCCTGATTTTCTGGAAGGAGTAAAAGGGAAAAAAAAATGTGAGTGAAGGGAAAGATCCAAAGCCTGGCTGGTTCACTCAACAACCAAATGAATATGAGTCCCTGGCTGCCAGCAGCGTTCAGGCTTAATGCTCCATCAGGCGTAAGGTGGAATAAGTGGGATGAGAGAAGAGGACAGAGAGGGAGAGAGAGAGAGCGGCAAAACAAAGGGAGGGGGCTTGAAAGGACTAGGAATGACACAAGAGGCGGGATTACTCAAGAGGAGATTACATATGGTTGGGGGTTGGGAGCCACTTTAAGTTTGCAAACCTCTCCAAAGTGTGAAAATCGAATTAACTATACAGCAAACCAATAAAAAAACCAACAAAAGTGCAAAGCTTCTTGTTCAGGTGGTGATGAGTCACTGGGAGGTGATGCTCATGCCGGAGTAAAATGGAAAAGCCATCAGTGGCGCAATGTCCAAGCTACACTAGAAACATCGGATTAATAATTTATGATTCTCAGGCAGGGAACTGTTAAGAAAACACACATTATGAGAAGTGATTGTGATGTATACTGTTACAGCCTTCCTCCTTATCACATCAAACTGCTGCCATTCCAGCCAGTCAAGTATTTAAACCCATCAAAGTCTATCGTCTCTCCATGACCAGATGGAGCAGATCTAATAACAAAAATCTATAAAAAATTATAAAAATATATAAAAAAGCAAAGGACAGCACAAGAGCATTAGGAAGTTTTCCTTCATTTTATGTATGTTTAAGCTTTGTTTTTGTCAGTATAATAAATTTCCGGGTCATAAGTTTGCAAGACTATGAATAAAATAACCAGCCACACTTTAATCAGCAAGTAGTGATTTTTGTCTAGCCTGTTCTTTCTAATTTTCACCAGATTTGATTTTTTTATTTCAATTTATGTAGCGCAAGAAAAAGTTTGATTATCCTCATGTAAACCACAATACATATGTCTTTAACCGTGATAAGACCTTCATTAAAGTAAAAAAAAAAAAAAAATTGGACAAAACAGGATGGTGTGTTTTTTAAGCTGTGAATGACTCATAGTTCTCAGTTTTGATGCATTTAATTAATAGAGCCTCCAGATTAGCTAGAGGCTAAAGCTAATGGCTAGTCAGAGAAGGGTTAAAACCAAACTACCCCCTTCTCACAAAACTTAACAGCAGTTAGCACAAATGCAATTTTATGAGCCTTTAAGCTGTCATCATGTTTGTATTGAACAATTATTTTTATTGAAACCACTGATTGATCACACAGGAAACTGAGTTGGGAGGTGGTGCATCACTAGTGATCTTCCTGAATGAAACAAATACTTGTGCAACACGTAAAACGGTTCCAGTCAGAGTAATGGTCTGATATAAAAGCAAAGTGGTACAAAAATTAAAACTACATATGCACTTTTGAGTGAAGGCTGATCTATAGATTTTTACATGGACTTATTTTATTGTTGGGTAATTACTCTGAACTAATCATCTGGATCAGACTTAAATTATTCAACAACACTTTGTAACACAGCTGCACTACTTAGTAAAAATTATGTTATAAAAGACCCATTATTTGACAGTGTGTATTATTTTGAGAGCAGTCTTTTGTTTTCATATGGGTTTGACTATGTTAAGTGATTTAAAGGCAAAAATGATTAGGAATTTTTATCTACTTTTTACTTAATATATATATACATATATATATATATATATATATATATATATATATATGTATATATATATATATATATATATATATGTAATGTCATATTTTAGGTTTAATTCATCAATCCACAAGTTTTCCTAAAGGTCAGATATTAACTGCTTATAAACTTGCTCCAGGACCTCATGTCAAACATCGTAAACTATTACTTTAAATAATAGGTAACATTTCTGTTTTATTATTTTTAAACCTGTATCCCCGAGCTGGAAATGTAAATCACCACTGTCCTAATGATGTGTACGGTTAAAAATATTTTGACTACACATGAAAAAAAGGAACACACTTCTCTTTTACTCAAAGTTCACTCATGGAGCATGTATGCAAATTACGCACTGTTAGCAACTCTGTCATGGTTGACTGCATTAGGGTCAAACCTGCATGCAGAAGTGAATTTTCTTCCTTCTCTCCTAATAAATCCCTGTCCTGACCTTTACCTGCTTCTGTTCTTTCATCTGCCAGCCTCTGATGCCTAGCCTTGTTCCCAGATCAAGGAATATACAATGTAGGAGATCCCCTCCAGAACCACTCAGCTTGTTATTTCAGGCCACAGCTCCAACTCACTGTGTTTCACATACTATTGTAGTAGAACACGAACTGAAAATAAATAGAACTCTGATGCTAACAAACACTTAGCAGCATGCAGGAAATTAGAAAAAAGGGTCAAAAATAGAAGATATTTTAGCACTTCCTAAATACATAGGTTCCCCATTGGTGGTAAGAAATGAAAACAAGTGCATGTTTGTTTCATAGGAATGGTTTTCTGACCCTGCAAAATCCCTCCTAAGTAGAAAGCCGGGGATTATGGTGCAGGTTAACGTATCGGACTAGTGGTTAATCTAAACTAATGTACATTATTTAGCAACCTGTTCAGTCCAAATTATTCAATCAAAGACATAAGGAGATGCTTTATTAGTGTCCAGCACAGACAGAGAACTCATAAAACAACAAACAGTGGGGAGTGCGTCTGTGTGTGAGTCTGCTCAGTGTATGGTTTGTTATGTGCACTTCATCTAAGGGTGGATATAAAGATAAGTCTTCATGCTTACTTCATTTATTAACAGGGAAAAAGTGATGTGTAATGTATAAAATAATCCCACAGTGGTTGTAATTCCCTTATCTAACACAGATGGCAGTAGAGAGTAAAGTTGTCAAACAAAACCCCTCAAATTTAAATATTTACATAAGAGACCTCAAAAGATACTGACAACTTTTAAAGGAATTTATGAGTCTCACAGAAAGTGGAGCATTTAAAAAAAATCCACATAAAAATGTAATCTAATATTATAGATGTTCCTTTTTTTAAAACCTAAAACAAAGCTGATAAAAAAATGGAAAGAAAAGAGTGGCAGTAAAGGCCCTCTTGTGCCACATCATAAAAGAGAATAGAGTGAATTTACAACATAATGGTAAAAGAAATGTACTGATTTTAAACTCCCTGAGCAAACATTTCTGGGGACATCTTTGCTTAATGGGTTATAGCCACCTCCACGTAAGGCGCCGTGCTGCTCTGGTGGTCACAGCTGAAATCAATACGCTATTAAAAAGACAAGAGGGGAAAACAGAGCCGCTTGTTGGCTAACAAAATGTAAAGAACGGACAACGCAAACAGGAAATTGCAAACTAGCAAATTGGAGAAGAGGCAAATGTACCAAAGCAGTATTTCATTATTTAGCAAGTTGGTCACAAATGCACTGTTGCAGTTTTCTGACCCTGAGCTGCACAAATTACACAAGGAAAGAAAAGTCCAAATAAACAGATCTGAACCTAGAAGGGGCACATGGAGGACGTTTTAGATGAATATTATCAAGGAGAATGGTGGAGACTTCAGTACTTTTCCGCGCCTGTCAGTGGGCGAGAAGAGAAACACAACATGCGGGGATCAGCAGGGTTTGAGAAGACAGATGTTCAGAGAACATTGAGAAAAGAAGCCTTTTTTTCTTTTTCATTTGTTCAGCATATTGACTGGGGAGTAAAGACTGATAGGTGGGTTTGGGTTCGTCATGCTGAAAGCAACCACTAACCCCCTAAACCTTTCCAGCAGAGGAGCCAACTTCTGTTTTAAGACAATGACTTTTTATTCCAATTTTGTCACATCACAACCAGAAATTTCAATAAGATTTTCTGCTACAGACCATTTACTTTAGCCTGTTTTATTTTGATAACTCTAAATCTAGAGCTAGAAATTGCATTCAGATGTCATTGGAAAGCAGTCAATCCTCGCAGTGAAACATGGTGGCGGCAATCTAAAGCTGTGGGGATGCTTTTCAGTGAATCAGTAGTGAGAAGGGAAGAGTTGATGGGAAAGTGGATGGAGTTTTGTGCAGCAGAAAATTATTAGAGGCTGCAAAAGACTTGATACGGGGGCCAAGGTTCACGTTGCAGCAGGACCTTCGCTTACAGCCAGAATTATAATGTCTTGGTTTACAACAGAGAATTTTCTTAGAGTTAGAATGGCTAAAATCTAAGCTGGAATCTGTGGCAATGCTTGACAGGTTATGTTTAAATGCAAAGTTTGACCAATCTGACTAAGCTGGAGCTATTTTGCAAGGAAAATATCCTGGAGGGTTTGGTTTTCTACAAACTATTGTTCAGGAGGGCTGAATACAAGTGTGCGTTACAGGGTTTCCCCAGGCTTCACTAACTCAAATTTTAGACTTTTTAAGACCACTATGAATGGAATTTAAGACTTTTATCTCCACAGAAATGTACAGACTTTGTCCAGTCAAATGGTGAATAAATTTGCACTGACCCACGATAGATGCAAAAAAAGTTATCAAGCTAGTCGGCTAGATAAGGTATGTTATCAGTGAGTTACTGGTAGCCTCAACTATCTCGAGTCGCAGAACGCAATGACAATGTCTGAGTGCGACCCAAACATTTGCCTGACAGAAAAGACCCGCAAGAAAGAAAATACACTCAATATGCAAGATTAAACAGTCCTAACAAGACCTGTGGTTACAATGTTAAAGGCCAACTTCCATTTTTAAATGAATTTAAGACATTTAATTTAAGACTTTTTAAGGATGCGCACGCAGACACCCTGTTCACACAGAACTATGAAAACTATAATTCTCATTCCCCTTCACAAATTTGTAAGTCTATCACAAAAAATACCAATACAAGTTTGAAATTGTAATGTGGTAAAGGATTTTTGGAAGGCCCTGTAGTCTAACTTACTTAAATACAAGAAGAGCTTGATGTTGAAACAAAAAAATACGAAAGGTTTAATTCTTTGTCAGGTAGCCTCATTAGCTGACAAATCCAAACCTGGAGAGATAATGAGAACAAACAGAAAGAAACAGCAGCCATCCAGATCTGTTCAGTGGGCTGTGAGAGTCCAACCAATTAAAATAACCAACAAACGACTGAATTGTTCCAGCAAAGGGCCTCCTGGCCTCGGTGGGGGGAAAAAAA